GAGAGAGAGAGAGAGAGAGAGGAAGGAGGAGGAGGAGGAGGAGGAGGAGGAAGAGAAAAAGGAGGAAAGAGAAGAGGAAGGGAGGGAGGAAGAGGAAGAAAAGGTGAAGCTATTGTTTTAATTTAGAAGAACTCAGAGGAGGTAATATTGGAAGGCAACCAATATTTATCTTACTTTAAATTAAAGCCAAGGGATTTTCAGAATTCATTTGAGAACAATAAGCCGAGTTCGTGTTAGCATGAGTCTTTTTATGAAAAGTAAATGTATTTCCCAAAACAAAGAACCATGAGTAGGAATATAACCACACAACCATCTGCCTTTAAAGAAAACAGCTTCATCCTGGTGCCCTGAGAGGTTGGACACCCGCTGCACAGAGGAGCGTCCTGAAAGGGAAACGGGAGGGGCTTGGTCCTGTTAGGGGAACAGTCTGATCCCAGGGAACCCCTCAAAGGTCTCCAGGCCACTGTGAAAACTACCTGGTGCCCTAGAGAAAAGGAGAGTGGAGACAAACCTGAGGGATTTCACCATGATTCCATGTCATGATTGCCCGTTTCTGTGCACCGAAGGAAGTCTGTGGACAGCAGACCTGTTGTCTTGACCCACATCTTTCATGGCCCCTACTAAATATTGCTAGGGCTTGGGGGGGGGGGTTCACAGCCCTAGGCATCTACTCTCCCAGGCTCCCAAGGCTCTCATGGGGAACCACACTATCACCACACTATACAGACACAGAAAAACAAATTCCTTCTATAAGGCTCCTCAGCCCTGGAGTGTGGGTCCCCAGATTCCCCCAGACGGTTCTCTCATCTGGCTGAGCAATAATCTCAGCCTGACTCCATCCTGAGATTGACCTGGGGGTGGAAGGCAGCCCCAGTGATTCAAATAGGTCCAGGAAAGACCAGAGAATACATGTGGAATTCAGAGGACAGCCTCAGGTATCCATTCTAGCCTTCTTTTTTTTTTTTTTTTTTTTTTTAAGTAGGGTCTCTGGTTTGCTGCTGCAGATACCAGGCTCACTGCTTGGAGTTTCCAGGGACACTTGTCTCCACCTCCCTCTCCCCATAGGAGATAGGTGGTCTTGTCTCCTGATATGTCACACACACACACACACACACACACACACACACCTAGCTGTGTGTGTTCATCTGAACTCAGGTCCTCACACTTGCACAGCAGGAACTTTATGCACTGGGACATCTCCCAGCCTGTAAGTCAGAAGGTTTTATTGAGCGGCTAGTGTAGTGGGTAGCCATTCCAGCTTTGACATGGAAGTTCCAACCCCCACTGAGGCTTCGGTAAAGGTCACGCCTACAAGGCAGGGCCAAGGGAGGACCCTGAAGACCTGAGATCCGGATGCACTGGCTCTATTGGTTCCTGGACCCTGGATGCTGGAGGTAGACCGAGCAGAGTTCTCCAGAGAACACTGCCAGACTGCGCTACACCTTTCCCAGACCCTGTAAACTATCCCTTCACTTGTAAGTTACCCCACAAAATAAACCTCCCTTTTAACTACGTGGAGTAGTCATAATAATTTCACCAATAAGCTAGTGTTTTAAACAACTGGTCTCCAGCCTTGCTATTCCAAGTGTGGTCAGGGTACCAGCAGCCCACATGAGGGCTCCAGTTCAGAGGTGGCTCCATAACACTCAGCCAGAATGTGCGTTTAGCCAAGACCCCTGGGTGATTTGAATGCATGTCATGGGGTGAGGTACCTGGGCAAAACTGAAGGGATGTTGCCCAGGTGTAAGGAGGCAGGATGGCTTCCTGGACTGGCCAGCTGTCCTCTACCCCTGGCTTCTCCCGACCTTGAAGCTGACACCACTGTGAACTTGATAACTGAATGAACACAGACAGTCCAGAGACTTCTGAAATTCCCACTGAGGTCTATAAATAAGTAATCTAAGTTGGGATGATGCATCCCTGTAGCCCTAGCACAAGGGAGGTGGAGGCAGGAGGATCAGAAGTTGAAGGTCATCCTAAGCCACATAACAAAGTGAAGTCATGGGCTACGTGAAGCCATGTCTCTAAATAAGTCTATAAACAAATAAGCCAAAATTGTCACAATTCCAACAGTTCTTTGTTTTTATACAGAGGTAGTGACTTGAGGTCCCCTTCAAGGTCAAACAGATCCTTTGTTCAGGAGACACAGCAAGGTGCCATCTGGAGGTGAAAGGGTAAATGTTAAGATCTACTGAGACAGAGGAAGACATAAAGGCTGAGACATAGGGTCCTTCCATGGAGGAAGAAGGAGGGGCCCACAGGTGTGTGGCTCGAACCCCCACCCCACCCCCACCCCGCTGGGTTCGCGCTCTCTGAGCTGCAGTGGTACTCAGGTGCCTGAAGGTACTTCTGTGGGTAGTAGGGTTGGACTCTAGAGATGGAGGCAGAAAAATCAGAACTTCAAAGCCAGCCTTGCTACAGGAAATCCTGTCCTAGAAAAATGAAAAAATAGAGTCATTTATGTCATGTGATCTCTTCTAGACTCTTTGGCATGCCCAGGAGGCTAAGTAATCCCCATTGGATCAAGAAAATAAAAGGGGAATCCTATACCTGATGTGGGGGGGAGGGGGGGAGCAGATAAAGGAATGATTTTTTTTTTTTTTTTTTTTTTTTTTACTTAATAAGGAGGGTTTCCACCCTGACCACCATTCTCACATGTGAAAAGTATGGTAAAAGCCTTGATGCTTGGTGCTATGGTAGTCATCTTATGACCATAAGGATGGCAAACCAGGAGGCTGGAAAGGGTTAATATTATAAAGCAATAAAACAACTTCTGGATTACCCACAATTCCTTGGATGCTAACTAAATCCCAACTGTTTGGGCCACAGCAATTTTCATGTCATTTAAATGTTTCCTGGCAGCTTGAGGATGCTGGGTAAAAGTCCCCATGGTGGCTTCACGGGAGACCACAAGGCCATGATCAGTCTACTCCAAGACATTTTGTGGACATATGAGAGTTGACCCAGGAAAGCCGATGTAGGTAGCTGCCACATGATGACTGCAGGTAGTATGCTGATTCATGGATATCACTGGGCCCATCCTACTGGAGTAACTAAACCTTCTAATGTATAATGAGTAGCAGAAGTCACAGGCTGAAGGCAGAAGAACCCATGGAAAGTGCATGAATGTGTCTGACGTGGACACAAAACAGTGGAACAGTAGCAGTGGCTGTCTACTGGCGTGTCTCCCGTCTGCTCGGTCCACGCTGGCTGCTCACTCCAAAGCTGAGTCTGGAAATGAGCAGAGCAGGAAGTGGTCCATTTCTACTCCAGGGTCAAAATCAAGTGTTGGAGTCTCCGGTGAGCCTGGGTTTCTTTTAATCCAGCCAGGGTTCCCTGCAGGCCTGCAGTTGAAGGTCTCAACACAAGTTAGCCTCCCTCAAAAATGTGGTAGCCCTAGAACAAGATCTCAGGTCCAGTCATAAGCCTTCAGCAGTGTCTGGCATAGACTTGGTATTTAGCAAATATTGCAGTCCTGTGTCCAGAACAATTAGAGGGGCACTGAATGAATTACTCTTCTGTTGCTTTGGTAAAAATACCATGACCAGAAAACTTAGGGAAAAGGAGTTTGTTTGGCTTATGGTTCCAGAGGACTAGATGGTGGGCCATGGGAGCAGGATGCTGAGAGGTCATATCTCGACTGTACACAGGAAGCAGAGGGGACAAATTGGAAGTGGGTTGAGGATAAAAACTCTCAAATCTGGCCCCTATCTTCCTCCACCAGGGGTGCACCTTCTAAGGCTCCATACCTTCCTCCAACAAGCACCACTGGCAGGGCAACATGTAGGAAACATGAGGACGCTTCTCATTTGAACACAAAAGGCCCTGAAAATAATCTCTCAGGCAGCTGACCCCACCCCTACCTTCAAGACACTTCTCCATAGAGTGTCTTGATGTTTCCAGAAATATCACCTAACGTAGCTAACCAAATTTGAGTCCTGCCTCTGCCCCAACCGCCCCTTAGACTTCTAGGAAGCCCCCAGCTTTCCAAGCCTCTGCTTGTCACATGCAAGATACAGACAATTCCAGAAATCCTATGAATAGAGCAAAATGTCCACAGGAAT